AATGTATGAATATAATATACAAGTTTCACTTTTTAAATGGAATTACTGAAATAAATCTACTTTTTCATGATATTCTAATTTTATGACCAGCACCTGTAATATAGAGATACATTTTGAATCAATTGTACACATTAAATTTACGATTTGACTCAATGCAATAAAATACAAAGGTTTAAACGGTAAAAGATAACACTTGTCCAGCCCCTGAGCTGTTTGCTTTGAGTAACTGAGGCCCTCTGAGTAAGATCTGCWTTTAGCTGCAGCCCAGTTGTACTGGGAAGTGGGAATKTTCCACTTACATTTCATAAATTTAAACTGGAACATCCCTCCAGTGGGAATTCCCTGTCTGAAAGTGAAAGAGAGAATTTCAAGATGGCAGCTACTCACCAGAACTCATCAGTGAGTAAAACTCTCTGACTTTTACTTTGAATAGTATTTCTGTATTATTTATTGGTCCATTTAGTCAGTTGTGCACATAGTATTTTTCAGAGTTTATAAGAGGACGTGTTAAAATGCTGTTTCTATGCAGAAAATACCACACAGAGCTCAGTTATTGTTTGTTAGCACTGCTCAGCTGAAGCAATAAGACGAGGAACATGACAATTCATGTTTAGTCCAAGTTAAACACGACGCAGCGAAGTTAATTATAACTGGCCCTTTGAGGGCCATCATAATGCTCATGTGGCCCTCAGTAAAACTTAGATTCCAGGAGTCAGACAACAAAACAGCAAACATTTTATTATTCCTCCATGCTTTTAATAAGTTACTGAATTAAAAACAGCAGGCATTCGCTGTATATTAGCTTCCTGTTTGTTTTTGTAAAAGTAATTAATCAGTAATAATAATTTCAGTGTCTGGTCTGTTTTCATCCTGTCATCAGGACAATTTTTATTTATTTTTTTTTCTGGAGTCCATCAGCTTTCTGGGTACAGAACCAAAATACCAGCGAGCAGGCTGACATTTTAAAAAAGAAGCAGCTCATGACAAATTCTAAAAGCCAAACTGCTCCTTTTGTCCTCCTCCTAGAGAGAGAGAGAGAGAGACAGAGAGAGAGACAGAGAGAGAGAGAGT